CCAGCCCTGAGGTAAGATCTCGATCAAAGTTTTGATTTAAAAAATGAGTTTGAATAACTGATAACTTGGGCTGGGGCTGCGGCTCAGGGGTAGAGCGCTCGCCTAGCACGTGTGAGGCCCTGGGTTCCATCCTCAGCACCACATACAACAATAAATAAATAAAGGTATTGTGTCCAACTACAACTAAAAAATAAATACCAAAAAAAGAAATAAAGCTATTATGTCCAAAAATAAATAAATAACCGATAACCTGGGTGCTTGTTCTCCAAGTGGAGGGTCCCTCAGGGACATGACTGGCAGGTGACTTACTAGGTAATAATCACCGTAAGCGAGTATTCTTTGAGTTTCCACTATGCACCAGGCGTTTTCTGGGTGGTGCACAGATTACTGTGGTCCCAGCCCCCGAGGCCTAGCAGGTGGGTGGAGGTCCTGAGTCAGGCGCTGATGACTCACAAGTCAGGATGTGGTCAGGTGCCAGGGGGCTGAGTCGGTTGCATCCAAGCCAGGGACAGGGTTTCTGGACTCCAGGGGAAGGAGGGAACAGGCTTCATAAAGCAGCAGCGGCCCTGGCCRCCAGGATTCCCTGGATGGCTTTAGCACCTACTTGTTGGTGCATGAACTTGGCCTCAGCKCCTCAGGTTCATCCCAGGTAAAGCCAGTGGTGGGAATCCACCTTCCATCCTGTGATCGCGTGTCCCGGATCGTCTTGGTAGGCTGAGTCATTCAGAGAGGAAGCAGGGCCTCGGCTGGGAGGTAGGTGGCCCACTCGGACGAGAGCGGGCAGGTGTGCACTGCTCTGTGCGTTGGGGACTCGGGGAACAGAGCCTCACCTGGCAGACGCCCCCGTGTCAAGAGCAACCAGGGAGGTGTCAGCAGTGCTAAAGGCGCTGTCCCACCCAGAGATCCATCCCAGCCACGGGGCATGCAGCAATGTCGGCTGTCCATGTGCACAAAGTTGGGGACAGGGGAGTACAGTTGAGGACAGGGAAGCACATTGGGAAGAAGACTGGAAAATTGATATGATGCCAGATGGTCACAAACCCTGGACGTTCAATAGCGAGTCACTGAGGCCTTCCCTAGGCAGTGGGGAGCCCCCAGAGAGCTGTGTGTGTGTGTGTGTGTGTCTGTGTGTATATATCTGTGTGTGTCTGTGTGTGTGTCTGTGTCTCTGTGTGTGTCTGTGTGTTTCCCCCAGCCTTTCATTTAGATAGATGCCAAGCCACAGAGAGAGCACCAGAGCAGCCCCCCATCATAAGCCTGTCCCCCAGTCCACGGTTACTAATCTGCCACGTGGGCTGTCCCCTCCTCTGAATGTGTGGAACTGCAGGATGAGGTCCTCCAGGGGCACCCCTCCTCCCAGCCAGCCGTGCCTCCTGAGGTCCCTCCCGGTGGGTCCATGGGAGCTGCTGGAAGACCACCTCCTGTCTGTCTGCAGCGCCCACTCTTCTCTCAACCTGATAAGGGCTCTAAAGATGGTTCTGTCCTAACCACAGGACTTCAGAGATGGCCACCCTCCACTGGCCCTCGTGAGGTGTTAGCGCCTCTCTCTCTCTCTCTCTCTCTCTCTCTCTCTCTCTCTCTCTCTCTCTCTCTCTCTTTCTCTCTCTCTCACACACACACACACACACACACACACACACACACACCATCTCCCCTGGATTGTTGGGGACAGTCACTCCAACTCTGCAGAGCTACCCATTTGCCTGGCATCTCTGTGGCATGTGCAGTGGTCAGTAGTGGTCTCAGCTTCTGGTGCAATAGCACAGTTCAAAGGTCACCTGGATAAACGCTCCTGGAGAGCACCATCTCCCTCCAGGGGGTGGAAAAGACTGGATATTTTGGAGAATTCTTTTTTTTATTCTTAAGTTGCCARTGGGCCTTTATTTTAGTTTTATTCATTTATTTCCTCGCGGAGCTCAGAATGGAATCCAGGGCCTCCCATGGGAGATGGGCACTCTTACCACTGAGCCASAACCCCAGCCCTGGACAATGACTTTTTAGGGACAACTGAGAAGTGCCCACCTCTGACCCTGCCTCTCCATTTCCATCCTTCCAATCTGGGCTTTGGGAGAGTAAGTCCTGTTCATGGTGGCCATGGTGGTCTGTGCCCTGAGTCGGGGGCTCATGTTTGTCCTCACGCAGTGTGACATAGAACGTCTCCGCAGTTGTCGATGTTGTCAGAATCAGTTACTTTTAACTAGACTCACTGATTATCCTTTTATGAATATTCGCACTGATTATCCTTTTATAAATTTTTGCTGAAAAATGTGTCACCAAGTAAGACTCTAATTGCTTATCTTTCAGTGTGATTATATGAGTGTTCCAACCGCCGTGTTCACACCTCTGGAATATGGCTGCTGTGGACTGTCAGAAGAAAAAGCGATTGAAGTGTATAAAAAAGAGAATCTAGAAGTAAGATTGTGTTTTTATTATTTCCTTTTTTTAAGAATTTCCCTCCTAATGAACCATTTATCTTCACAGTCACTTTTTATTTTATTTCACAAGTTGCTACGGTGGTTTTACGGTAGGAAATCATATCCCTGTTTGGAGGCCAATTAGAATTTAATTTAAACTTTCTAGCAAACTAATAAGAATACAACTGAGGCAAGAAGGGAGCAGAATGTATGTTGGGACATTTATCAAATTTGTTACAGGTATCAAATTTGCAGTTTGAACACGCTTGTACAGTGAAGTGCAAGGTCATCTTGAGATCTTTGGGGGGCCAGGTGCAGAGGTGCACGCCTGTAATCCCAGTGGCTCRGGAGGCTGAGGCAGGAGGATCACAAGTTCAGTGCCAGCCTCAGCAAAAGTGAGGCCCTAAGCAACTCAGTAAGACCCTGTCTCTAAATAAAATACAAAATAGGGCTGGGGAYGGGGCTCAGTGGTCAAGTGCCTCTGGCTTCAATCCCCACTATCAAAAAAATAAAAAATAAAAACAAGAAAAAAAAATCCAAAACTTAAGCCTGTCATCCCAGCGACTTGGGAGGCTGAGGCAAGAGGATTGCAAGTTGGAGGCCAGCCTCAGTAACTCAGTGAGGCCTTGAGCAACTTAGTGAGTCCTTGTCTCAAAACAAAAAAAAGGGGGGGGGCTGGGGATGTAGCTCAGCATCCCTAGCACTAAATAATCATAATAATAGTAATAGTAATAATGATCTAATCATCATCATCATCATCTTTATAATGTTATTTTAGATTTGCTTTTTGCATTTACATGTTTATAAGAATGAGCCATCCTGTTAGGTGAACTTTAAGTTGGGTTGTGGAAAATTGATGACCATAATTATGGATTTAACAGTTTTAAAACTGTTTGCAGTCAGTGAGAAATTAAGGAACAAAGGCAGGCAGTGAGCGGATGAATGTGGACAGAAAGCCACACCCCGGGTAAAGGAAGAGTTCATCAGAAACAAGGTGTCCAACTTTGGGGGCTTACTTTCAGGTATTTCCCCTCAGGCCTACTGCAAATCAATTCAYCTATTTTATTTACTTAGTTTTTCCATTTTGACAGAAGCCAAAATTTGATCTGTTTGTAGGTTTTGTTTGTTTGTTAGTTTGTTTTGGTCCCAGGGATTGTACCCAGGGGCCCTCGACCCCTGAGCCCCATCCCCAGCCCTATTTTATATTTTATTTAGAGTCAGGGTCTCACTGAGTGGCTCAGGGTCTTGCTGAGTGGCTGAGGCTGGCCTCCACCTTGCGATCCTCCTGCCTCAGCCTCCTGAGCTGCTGGGAGGACAGGTGTGTGCTAACGTGCCAGCTCTAGTTGTGTTTTTAATTCCTTATGGAAGCAGGTGGGAAGCCTCCAACATCGTAATCAGAAAAATGACAAGAGAAAACATCCCTGTTACTAAATAAGGTCTTCACCTAAAGATGGAAGTAGCAGACCTTCTTCTAGGAGAAACTGATGGACACAGACAGGCCCTACGKGTATTTATGTTACTGATCCTTGTCCCCAAGACACACAGAGAAAGCTAGTCATGCCCAGCGGACGGGGCACCGGGCTGACCTGGGGCTTCTTCCTATCAATATGCTATGCCAAAGACACGAGTGGGGTCTGTGGACTTTTGAGGGCCAAGTGGAGACTTTAAAGACCCGTCCAGGATGGTGTGTCCTGTGTTGAGCTGCTCCAACAAGTTCCCGTGACTTGGAAGCTCATAAACCACAGACACCTATTTAGTAGAATTCTGGAGGCTGAGGATGCAAGATCCAGGCAGATTTGGTGTCTGGCGAGGGAGGAGCTTCTTTGGGTTCATCGATGGCCGTCAGTGTGTCCCAGCGGATGGCAGGAGCAAGGTGGCCCTCTGTGGCCTTGTTCATGAGGGCGCTAATCACATTGGTCAGGGCTCCACCCCTGAGAGCTCCCAAGGAGGTTGGAATTTCAACATGGGAATTTGGGGAGGACCCAAATGTTAAGGCCACAGTAGATGGCTGGCAAGAAAATTTGACAAAGAAAAGCAAATAGATGAGGAGCAAGTAACCCAGAGATTTTTTCAAAATCTAGCAGCTGTCGGGGAAGGCAGGAGGCCAATCTGAAGATCTCAGAATGGCTGACACCATGCACCCCTGGAGGGGACACTGGACAGACAGGGTGTGGGGGCCAGTGGACTGTTTGAAAGGCCTTTTTAGAGACTTTGAGACTCTGTGCCTGTCACCAATCTGAAGAGCACTGTTGTGTTTACATTCATCCGCTGGTGACTGTAGTTCAGGACACTTTTCTTTGTCACCCAGCATTCAGTCTTTGCCTTCAGTGTGAGTGATTCAGGGTTCTACGCAGGGAGAAGGTAGCCATCCCGAGCAGATGGGCCAGGTGTGTGCTCGGTTCTGGTTTTTGGAGGACTGAGCCAGATCCAGAAAACATAGAGGCTCACCCAGGGCACGAGGACACAGGGGACAGAAATGTGAAGGCCGTAACCCTTGCTTTCAAGTATCACAGATTACGTGCTTCATTTCTTTGAATGGCTTGAACTATTTTGTTTCTTCTACTCTTCCAACTTTTGTTTTTGGATATGAACATAAAGATGAAGACAAAGATCTTTATCTGTCCTGGTACRTTGGCTTCGCACTCAGTAAATGTTTGAAAATCGAATTTGGTTCATAGAAMATTAATTTTGGGGGCTAATAGTGAAACAAAATAATGTTGGCACACTTTGGTTGCAGCTGACACTTCAGGACTTCTGGCCCAGATGCTCTCACCCAGCTGATCATGTTGGGATCATCCAACTTTAGCTTTCTGAAGGCTGCTATAGAGACTCTTATCTTTACAGAAGGAGRGCGCACCAAGGAGTGGACTGACCTGTGTGCACTAACCTGGCCTGTTTCTCTCCCTGCCTTCTAGGTGTACCACACTCTGTTCTGGCCTCTCGAATGGACAGTAGCCGGCAGAGACAATAACACTTGTTATGCGAAGATCATCTGCCACAAACCTGACAGCGTACGTAAGGGACTGGGAGCAGAATGCTGTCATTGGATTGGATTGGATTGGATTGGATTGATTGATTTTGTGGCCCTGGGGATCCAGCCCAGGGATTTGTGCATGCCTGAGCCAGACCCCCAGCCCTAAATGCTATGATTTTAAAAGGTAGCTTTTCTTCTTAGGGTTTCGATTTTTAGAAGATCTTTAAAGATAGCTTTGGGGTCAAGAGTGAGCACCTTCACGGGGTTTTCCTGTTGACATGGCCGCAGAGGTCCAGCAGTGACCGGTTGTGCCCGYGGTTTGCCAGTCCCCTCTTAGAATCCATCAGTGGCAGTTGACCCTGCCCAGGGCCCTCCTGATGGCTTGATGGCTTAGAACGGGTCATCGCCTGCCTGGTGCGGGTCTGGTTCTGTGGTGGCCCACACCTGTCATCCCAGTGGCTCGGGAGGCTGAGGCAGGAGGATTGAAGTTGGCTGTGAACCTCGCTTCAACCTCAGAGGTGCGCTCATTCGTGCACCCCAGACCTCGTGGYGGGCAGACCTCGGTGCCAGCCTGGTGTTGGCTACTCCTTGCTTCCYGCTTCATGGAAGAAGCAGGGGACAACTGCTCCCTGGGCTGACAGTCTCCGCTTTTGCAGCAAAATCTGACACCTTCGAATTATCCCAGGGCTGGGCTTTAATTCAGATTTGTGCTGTTGTTGTTTAGCACTATCTCAGCATAATTCTGCAATCTACATCATCCTAATGAACTCCTTCATGCAGTGGGTAAATTGCTTGTTCTAGTAAATTTGAGTGCAAATTAACTCTGGATGCACATTTACTGGCTCATTTCACAGACTCTTACAGAGACTCCCTTTCAKGGTAAATGTTCTCTGCTCGGTTCAACATGAGAGTCCTCCTGTAGGAGAGGCCTTCAATTTGAACTGAACTTGGAGTGAATAGATTCCCTTTCAGACCATTAACCTCCTGGGATTCTCTTTGTCTGGCTCCTGTATTAAAGGATCGAGTGATAGGATTTCATATTCTTGGACCAAACGCCGGTGAGATTACCCAAGGATTCGCAGCCGCCATGAAATGTGGGCTCACCAAACAACTGCTGGATGACACCATCGGAATCCACCCCACATGTGGGGAGGTAGGGAGCAGGAGGGTTATGAATTGACTTTACTGGATGCACTTTGAAAAACCAATATAAACAGTTTTATGAAGCCGGGCTCGGGAGGCTGAGGCAGGAGGATCGCAAGGTGGAGGCCAGCCTCAGCAACAGCGAGGCCCTGAGCAACTCAGGGAGACCCTGTCTCTTAATAAAATACAAAACAGGACTGGGGATGGGCCTCAGGGTTCGAGGGCCCCTAAGTTCAATCCCCAGTACCCCAAAAATATTGTCAGGAAGATTTTTTTATCCGTAACTGTTTTGTATATTTTAAAGAATCACGTAATATTCAGAATGTGTTTCTTGAAAGCAGTGATGGCGTCTGACCATCTGTTTGTTGTGCTTCTTTCTGTGGCCAGGTCTTCACAACTCTGGAAATCACAAAGTCATCAGGACTGGACATCACCCAGAAGGGCTGCTGAGGGTAGCCCTGCTGCTGCCGAGTTCTCCTTGTCCTGTTGTCGTTCCTTTCAATGACAGTAATGCTCTGTGCCCAGGACACCCGCTCTGTTGCTGGGGGACCAGTACAGGGCTCTGGAGGGCACAGAGATGAGAAGGCGGACAGGGGGACAGGTCAGCAGCAGGGGCCTGCGGTCGTCTCGGCTGATGTGAGTGGCAGTTGGGCTGCGTCCTTGACGCCCTGGCTTGGAGCCCCCTGGTGAGGTGAGCCAGGGCCGACCCTCTTGCGTCGGGCTCGACCTTGCCACCAGCACACCGTGAGTGGCACAGTGACCTAAGCTAACTTTTCCACACTTGGCACTGTTTTTATTCCTGCTTTGTTACTTCTATGAAGAAATTTTTTTTCAATTGTGAAACTGGGTGGAAAAGGCCGTTTTTCCTGTGTGCGGGCCTGGGTGGCACCTGCGTGCCTGCGTGGGTGACATCTGGGAGATGCATGGCAGTAGCTGGCTGCAGAGGACTGGGGACATGAGCAGAAAGCTCTGCGCCAGGTCTCAGTGTCAGTCAACTGTCCTTTAAGGGCCATTTTAACCTGCTGTCAAAATCCTGAATTGGGCTCCACCCTCCTGGACATTTCCTGGTGTCTGTCACCTGGAAGTGACTCTCCTCTTATTAGTAAGTAACTCTAAACTGGTGAGACAGCCCGTGTAAGAGACAAGGACTTGAATTTCTTCTTGTTGTTGATTTTTAAGAGTAATATTAAAAGACGTTTTCAGTACTGTATGATGGGAAATCTGCTTTCAGACTGGAGAAAATGTCTCAGTCATGATCTGTTCAGTGTAGACAAGTTCAGAAAAGAAACAGGTGATCGTTGGCGGTTTAATTTGAACTTACATCTGCGACGGAAAGGCCCTTGGGGACAGAGGCCCTTAGACAGCCTCTTACACTGCTGCCCATTTCACCCTCCTGTGGGCGTCTTGCTCCCTGGAGATGGAAATGTACCTGAAGACCAGGAGTCAGTTCACAGGAAGGAGGGGACTATGGAAAGATCTAGGCTTTGGAGAGTGACCGACGTGGGCATGCCTGCTCCGTGGCTTACGAGATGTGACAGAATGTGCTGCTTGGCTTTTCCTCCACTTCCTGTGTTGAGTGCAGACAGTGCTGCCCACCTCACAGAGCTACCTGGATGAGGTCCACACTCGGGAGCGCATTGGCGCAGAGTGGCTTGGCTTCAGCGCTGGGGAATAAGGTCCCTGATAAGGAGGGCTACTGTAGACACGCAGCAGGACAGCCAGCAGGCAGGCAGGGAGGGGACTGGTCCCTTGCATACTTTCACAGGCAACCTCCAAGTGGGATCCCCAAGTCCTGGTAATCACATCCCTGTGTGGTCCTCTCCCACATTTTACCAAGGTAGGTCTGATTTAAGCTGCTAACTTTTGGAGTAATTGTTTTACCCAGCAAGAGGTGATCAACACATTTAGGAAGGAGAACTCAAATTAGTACTGAGGTCATCAGCCAACTCGAGTGTCTTGGGGTCAGTCACCCCTAAACAGACACAATAAAATTCGTGGGGTTACCATTCCAACAGAAGAAGCCTGCAGCTCACACTCAGCTCTGAGTTCACGTCATCGTCGTAAACACCAGGGAAGTGCAAGATACCTAGCGGTGGCTGTGGTAGGTTTTTGCTCAAGTTCCTAAAAGATGACTAAGAAGACCTGATCATCATACGAATGTATGTTATTCAACTAATGAGGGGAGAACATGACCCCGATATATTGAGTTTCAGTGCCATCTTAAATGGGAGATGAAGAAGGGTACATCCAGTCTCCCCCTGGGGAGGCCACACATCTCCAATCTAGGATGAGGTCCGCACTCTAGATTGGGGCCATCCCATCATGGACTGGGACCTCCAGAACCATGAGCCACAGTGAACCTTTTTTCTTTATAAGTTAATTTCCTCAGGCATTTTGGAGTGGTGGTGGAAAGCTGACCGGCAGTGCATCTTATCATTTATAAATGATACTTCAAAATTAATTTTTCATCAGTGTTCAAAATATTTGTTGAACGATTACTAAACAATGGGCTCTCTTTGGGTAAGAAGAACGTGCATAGCCAGAGGACCAGAGGCTCAGAAAAGACGGAATGAGGGCAGATAAGAATCCAGGTAGAGGAGCAGGTCGGAATAGGGGGTGTGATCTCCTGTCACGGATGCCTAAGTGTCTGTGCCTTAGAATTTGCCCATTAGTAGACAGATCTTATTAACTCTCCCAATTCATCTATAATGTGTCCCATTAACACTGACACACTACGAGGGTGTCATCTTTGGTCTCTGTGTGATCCTGTGCTGTGTAAGTACCTTCTAGAAATGCATGTGTGAGAAGTAGCTTTGGGCATGATGAGCCATGCTATTGGTGTTATTTGAACCCCCATTGTGGCTCCTCCCAGCCGTGTCAGGTCTACACCCCAGGCCACCCAGATTTCTTTCCTCTAAAACGGTGTGTGATTATTGCCATTTGGAAAGCCATGAGCTGAGTTTTGCTTCTCTTTTGGCAGGATCCTTATCAAATGAATGGGGGGAATTTAAATGCAGCTTTCTCAGGAAGAAATCTCTATGCCGGGGGGTAAATGCAGGATGGCAGTTCTGCACTTGTTGGCCAGGTGATGTCGATCTCTGGGTGAGGTCGCTGCTGGGCATGGGGGCCGCTGTGCCTTAAGTGGGGTGTAGTAAGTAGGATCAGCAGCATCATGCGTGGCAGACCTGCTGGGACCCTATTGCCCCAAATCGTGCCCTCTTAGCACCCAAGCGTTCCCGCAATCTGCTTCCTCTGTGGGGTGCTAATGACCATAGGTTATGGAGTCAGCCCTTCCCGGAGGCTGCCTGATTTACTAGGTAGGAAGGCTTTTCTGCATCAGAGCCTGAGATGATGGAGTGGTCCACACAGGGCTTCCGTAACTTCTGCTGGGGGTCTGCTAGTTCATTTAATATCATCAACAGCCTTAGCTAGTCCCGGGGACTAGCAAAGCTCAGTGAACTTGGTTAAAATGAATGTTCTTAAGTCACTTTCTTGGGGATCATAGGGAACTGGGGATGGAACTCAGGGACCCTTGACCCCTGAGCCCCATCCCCAGTCCTATTTTGCATTTTAGAGACAGGATCTGAGTTGCTTAGTGCCTCGCTTTGGCTGAGGCTGGCCTCCAACTTGTGATCCTCTTGCCTCAGCCTCYGGAGTTGCTGGGATGACAGACATGTGCTATTTGTATTTGTTCAGCCTATAATGGGTCATGTGGTGACTTCAGACCCTGCCCCATGCCACATAGGGCGTTACCTAGTTTCTATGCCCTCATAGCTTTACAATCAAGTGGAATTAGCAGATACAAATAGATAGCTTTAGAAATTATTTCTGCCTTGCAGAGAAAGGAGAATGAATACTGAATTCTATAATAAGCCAGAGTTATACTCCATTTATAAATTTGTTTAATTATCTCATGAACACTTGAAAATACCGATGAGGAACCTGTGGAGCCCTGTTGATCCAAAGTTCATTCATTTTTTGGTGCATTTAGACAGCAGGAAAGAATGTTAATAAATAATAGCCACGGGCTGGGGCTGGGGCTCAGAACACTTGCCTAGCATGTGTGAGGCCCTGGGTTTGATCCTCAGCACCACATCAAAATAATAAAAAATAAGGGTACATCAACAACTAAAAAATATCTTGAATAAATAAATAATGGCTAGGAATCTGTTTACATTTAGTGTGATCAGGGAATTTTACTGTTTCGTGGGGGAAGTGGGCACTAAATTGCTAAATTCTCATTACAATTACTGTAAAAAGTTAAGTTTGAAAGATGTACACATTTAGAGACTGCTCTTCACTTGGTGCATCTTCTGTTAGAAGCATTTGCATCTCAGGGTGATCAGAGACCAGCTGTGGATTTTAAAGCGGTTCTGATAAACCCCGGAGCTGTGACTTCTCCTCCATCAGTTCTGGTCATGATCATGCACATGTAGACTCAGGTGATCCACAGCGCAGTGGGAAGATTGGGCTTGCCCCACGCCCTGAGTCATTTCCTGCTGCTCACTGCCTGGCCCTTCTCCTCCCTGGGGAGCCACACATCTCTTCCCACTAGCTGTCAGGACCCACGTGGGCCTGTGCAGATTCCCGGGAAGTCAGGGACTTGTCTGTTTGTGCATTGAGTACAWAGATCCAGCAAACCCAACTTGGTGACCTTGGTTTTTGTCCGAAGCTGTATAGGAAGTTCAGTTTGACCAGATTCCTTCCTGGCTGCAGATCTAGGAACGCCWGCATGCAGCTTTTTCTTCTTATGAAATTGACAACTTTCACCTCGTCACTTAAAGAAAACCAAAGGGCAAACCCAAAGGGCCAGCATCACTACTTTTGCTCTTTGGGATCATGAGGTACGTCGAGGTCACTTGAACACCAGCACGGCGTTATACCATGCCAGTGACTAACGGGAGGGTAGTGTCTACACTGTGGATACGCTGGGTGAAGGTCTGATTTGCATCCCGGGTGAAAGGGAGCAGGGTGATGTGAGATTCCATCACATGCTCAGAACGGCCTGCAGTTTAAAACTTATGGATTGTTCTGGAATCTTCCATGTAATATTTTCAGATTGCATTTGACTACTGGTAACTGAAACCTCGACAAGTGAAATCTTGGATAAGGGGCGGACTCCTGTAGATGCTTTTCTCTGTATTTATCCTGTGTGGGCCTTACTGAGCTGGTTGGATCTGTGAGTTAATATCCAACATCAATTTGGAAAATTCTCAGCCATCATCTCCACAAATATTTTTTCTATCCATCCATACTTTCTTTTTTTCTAGAAGCCTGATTACAGGTATTTTAGGCTTCTTATTGTCCTGTGTGTCTCAGTCTCCCAGGTTTTTCCTCTTTGCATTTGAGTTTGGATCTGGCTTGCCTTTGGAGTCACTGGTTCTGTCCTGTCTTTGATCTCTCTGCTCAGATTCCCCATCTGTTCTCACATACCGTCCACCTTTTCCTTTAGACCATTGAACATATTTAGCATCATTTTAAAGATCCTATTTCCAACACCTAGGCCATCCTGTCTTGCTTTCATTGAGTTTTATGTCTTGGTCATGGGTTATATTTTCTTGTTTCTCTGCACTTCTCCTAAATTTGTATGTCAGGCGTGAAATCCAACAGAGCAGTAGGGGGTCTGGGGGTGTGGCTTGGTGGTAGGAGGGTGTGCCTATCACTAGGCTAGGCCCTAGGTCCAATCCCTAGGACAGTAAAGGCTTGTTTTACTTAGCTTTTTCATCACTGTGACCAAAAGACCTGACAAGGACAATTTTAGAGGAGGAAACGTGTATTTGGGGCTCATAGTGTCAGAGATCTCAGTCCGTAGGTGGCTGACTCCATTCCTTGGGAACTGAGATGAGGCAGGACATTAGGGAGGAAGAGTGTGGTGGAGGGAAACAGCTCAGGACCTTCATGGGCCATGGCAGGCCTTTGGGTGAAGGCCTGGGTGCCTTGGAGGGACGTCTGTCTGTCCTGCCCTGGGACTTTGGCCTGGCGTGTGGCCCGGGTGGCAGGTTCCTCCTTTCCCCACCCGCGGTCCTCCACCTCCTGCCCCTTGTCCTGCAGGAAGCAGCCTTGGGTCTCTCCTAGAGGGCCAATCACTCAGAACTTTCTGGAATGTATTTTAGTCGCGTTTGTCTGGTCGACGTGCTTAG